ATGGATAGTTCTTCTGCACCCACATTCTTTACACTTGTGGTACTTCGTTTTTCGCCGGGCCACTAGTACTTCGTAATAATCTATATGGACCGTTATGTACCATTGGGCAATACTTTTTGCAGCATCACCTTTTTTCTAGTTATTTTAGTGCTTTATTAATATAAAAATAGGTCAATGGTGACCAATGCCAGTTGCCCATGCTGTACATAGAAGTAGAAGTAATGCTGTATGTATTCCAAGTAGACCCTACAATAATCAATACTCTCTCTGTTTTAAAATGAACAAACAATAATTAATACTCCCTCTCTTTAAAATGAACAAACATAGGCTCTGTTCAGATTTTAACTTTTTTTTCTTCAAACTTCTAATTTTTCCGTTAAATCGAACTTTTCTACACACATAAACTTTCAACTTTTCTGTCACATCATTCTAATTTTTTTAAACTTTTAATTTTAGCGTGGAACTAAACACAGATGTAATACAGATGTACTGTAACACATATTAGCCTATCCAAACTTACAGTAGCATGATGTGTTACTTTTCGTGTTTAATTTGTTTATTTACGATAAAAGTATTAAGCACTAAAATAAATCCTTCTAGAAGTGGAATAGTCTAGGTGGGCCACTGCAACTACAGTTACAGTGACAATGACAATTACATTATTGGTGGAGAAGACTTTGACTTGATGACTTCTGACAAACCAATCACTTGCACTGCAGGCAGCTACACACAACTTTTCCGTAAAATCAAGGACTGGTTTGGTCTAAGGCCTAAATTTGGCTTACCAATATTTGACAATTTTAATAGTATTTAGTGTCTATTTGATTTGAAGCTAAATTTTGGCATGCCTAAGAAAATAGGCTATTTCAATAGTTAACTTAGGCTATTTTGGCTTCAATCCAAACACAACTTTGCCTTCTCAAAATTTTTCGTATCAAAACTTGCCAAAATTTGGCATTGCCAAAAATTGGTAAGGCCAATTTAGGTCACAAACCAAAGTAGCCCCGAATGTTTGAACACATGTATTAAGTATTAAATGTAGACAAAAAAATCAATTGAACAGTTTAACTGTAAATTACGAGACGAATCGTTTGAGCCTAATTACGCCATAATTTAATAATGTGATGTTACAATAAACATTTGCTAATGATAAATTAATTAAACTTAATAAATTCATCTCGCAGTTTACAGGCGGAATCTGTAATTTATTTTATTATTAGTCTATATTTATTACTTGTATTCGTATATTTAAAAAAAGTTTGGCACACGAACAGCCTCACAAGCGAAACAGCCACCACGCATGCCAGCCGGTGACAGTGAATCAGTGATGCACATGCCCTCAGGAAGATTGCTGCTGAATGCACCATGGTTCTGACATAAAGAGAGATGTTCTCTCTTTTTCGGGGCTGCTTAGGGCCTCGTTTAGTCCCAACTTTTTTTTTTAAACTTTTCAACTTTTCTATTATATTAAAATTTTACTACGCACAAACTTCCAACTTCTCCGTCACATTGTTCTAATTCAATCAAACTTTTAATTTTGGCGTAAACTAAGGCCCTGTTTAGTTCACACCAAACTTCCCCCAACTCTCAATTTTTCATCACATCACATCACATCCAAAACTTTTCTACACACATAAACTCTCAACTTTCCCCAAACTTTTCTCCAATTTCAGGAACTAAACACAGCCTAAACACACCTTAGATCCCATCCCAAAAATTTTCACCCCATCGCATCGAACGTTTTTTACCCTGTCACATTGAATGTTTGAATACCTGCATGAAGTATTAAATACTACCTCCGTCCCATATTATTTGCTGCTTTGAGTTTTTGTTTGTAGTGTTTGATCATTCGTCTTATTCAAAAAAATTTTGGAATTATTATTTATTTTGTTTGTGACTTGTTTTATTATCAAAAGTACTTTAAGTTTGACTTATTATTTTTGTACTTGCACTAATTTTTCAAATAAAATGAATGGTCAAATGTTGTAAGAAAAAAGTCAAAGCAACAAGTAATATGGGATAGAGGTAGTATAGGCTAAAAAATAATTAATTGCACAGATTGCGACTAATTTGCGAGACGAATCTTTTAAGCCTAATTGCTCTAGATTTGACAATGTAGTGCTACAATAAACATTTACTAATAATAGATTAATTAGCCTTAATAAATTCGTCTCGTGGTTTACTGGCGGATTCTGTAATTACTCCCTCCATATTATATGTATGACGCCGTTGACTTTTTGACAAACGTTTGATCTTTCGTCTTATTAAAAAAATTTATGTAATTATAATTTATTTTATTGTGACTTGATTTATCATTAAATGTTCTTTAAGCATGACATAAGTATTTTTATATTTGCATAAAAATTATGAATAAGACGAGTGGTCAAATCTTGGTTATAAAGTCAACGGTGTCATACATTAAAATACGGAGGGAGTAGTTTTTTTATTAGTGCCCAAACATCTCATGCGACATCCTACATAATACCTGATGTGACAATGCCAAAACTTTACACACCCGTCCCTTCGTTTGTACAAATGGCCAGATCGACAGTGGGTTATAAGAGCAGAAAGCTTCAAGTTTCCGCACTGATTATGACTGGATCGTCGGCGTTAGAGAATTCTTCTGCGAGTTCAGCCGATGTCGTTCACTCATCAGTCATCAAGCTCTATCATCAATACTTCAATAGGACAAGCGGACGACGGGGAGTCACGGAGTCACCTCTTTGTCCACAACCAGCTGAAGCAGACGTGCGAATATCTCGAACTTCCGGTTCTCTGCCCTACTAAAATTTGATAATGCTAAATGGCTAATATTCGTCGCAAAGATAGCTTGCGTATAGAAAGGATAGAGATTGCAAAACTATTTTAAACTCTTGACAGGATTTTCTCTCGGTGTTTGCATGTTACCCAATTAGTTATGATTTTTTTTAAAAAAATTCAACAAGATAGATTAATATATGATAAACCACTTCATAAACATGGTCAAATTTAACTTCTGCAATAAAAAAATTAATTACGAATATACGTTAACTAGTCATAGTTTAATTTGTTTTTTCTGTTGGAACTTGTAGAAGTTAAATTTTAACTTGTATATTTGTAGAGTGATTTATCATAATAATCAGTCTTGTTAATTTTTTTTAAAAAAATTTTCATAACTATTTAGTTGACTTCTAAACAACGAGAGAATGTCATCTTGAGAGTTTAGGAGATATTGTCGTGTGATTTGTTCCGTAATTTTTGAAACACATAAGAGGGTTGTGTTTGTTTTTCTTTAGAGAAGACAAAGGTTTGTTACTGTTTTGTGTTGGAATTTTTCGAAATGATAGATTGTCGTATAGGTGTTATCTACAAATCTGGTAAAAGTTTTTGCATTGGGGGTTATGCTTGCCACTTCTTAAAAAATGATTTTTCTAGACGAACACCCCAATAGGTTATAGATGGACCATTAGTGTCCGTGTCTGCAAAAATCGACCCTCATTTTCTCATACGGCTCTTTAAGAGATCTATACGCAAAATTCAAATTTTTCAGACGGACCACTTAAAATATCCGCACACAAAAATAAGGTATGTTTACATGCAGGGCTCTTAACTCACCCGCACGCAAAAATAGCTCACTCTATTTTATTTATTCTCCACTCCTCTCTCTCTCCCATCACCCACACTCTCTATGCCCGGCTATCTCCTCTGACCTCTCCTACTCCTCCTCTCCCCTCTCCTCTCTCTAGGCGGCGGGCTCCGGCGGCGATATCAATTTTTACAGACCATTTGGTACGTGATGATCGCTTTGCCGCCTGCAAAAACTAGGATTGGTGTCGAAACATGAATTCGGCAATAATAAAAGGGGTAGCGCACGAGACCTAAAAGTGGATGGATGCGGAGACAAGGATTTAGAGAGGTAATACCCTAATCATGTTTGGGGATTTGAATCCGCCGGGTGTAGTATAGATCTGACCATCATATGTGCTCATGCCCCCTAGAGGGCCTCCTGCCCACCTTATATAGGATGGGGGGCAGGATTACAAGATAGAAACCTTAACCAATACGGTATCGGTTTCCTAAATCTACTTTATAATTTTATCAAACCAGGACTTTAGGCTATTCCATAATAAACAGGGAAACGTAATACCCAAGTCATGATCCGTTACATATTCCATAGATATAAGTTATCCCCTATAATCAGTCGGAAAACCATATCGTGTGGGTATGGGATACTCATAATCTCCACAATTGGACATTTGGAAAAACCGGATTTATAGTAGTATGCTACTGTGGCAAATTATTGATGTTAGAACATAAAATCCATCATGAGCGTGAGATACCTTCCCTTCTCCATACGTAATATCAATAAAAATCGATGACACCACTCCATTGGAGAGAGCTTAGTTTTTGTCCCGATTAATAACATCTTGTGAGAATTCCATGATTTACACACGTACGTGGCAAAAGAAACAGTGCACAACGAAACGAAACTGAATTCAGAAACAGAGTGCGGCGAATATACCTGAAGTCCTGAACTCTCTGAACCTGCACCAATTATTCAGAGTTTCAGATATGGGCGATCGAGAATCACACGAGTTTCTTCAGCTACAAGAGACGGTAGTAGATACAATCTCGCCCCCCCCCCCCCCCATTTCTGCCGAAAAGACAGAACAACATATGTATGTAAAGCATAAAAAAACTTTCGACAGAACAGAATAAGAACATTTCGACTAGGAAACGGCAATTCCATTCTCACTGCATGTCCTTGCTTTCGAGTGCCGTATCATAGTGATATATAATCGCATATATATCAAACGGAACATATTCCAAGTAATTGTCTTGTACTACACCAGAAGGTGATCATCCTTTTCATGCTTCTAATCTTAAATACATTCAAGTTGGATGAAAGAGGATAGCATAGTGCTCAACTGACAACTCACATGTCTCTATCAGAGCATCTTTCAATCACTAGAGGATTGGTGCTAAGGAAGCTATACCGAAGACTTGACCTGAGGTAGTGACGCACTTCGATGGTGGTTCTCTCTCTGCCTTAATTTCTACTTAAGATCACTCCGACGCCATGTCTGAACATCCAAGAACACACCACACTCGCAAAAAATGGCTGTCTACAACATCCTCATCCTCTTTCTACTACTATTGCTCTTCTCTCTATCGACTGCGCAGCCCAGCGCCGACGAGCAAAAACTACTCCTAGCAATCAAGCAAGATTGGGACAACCCAGCTCCACTCAGTTCATGGAGCAGCACCGGCAACTGGACTGGTGTTATCAGTAGCAGCACAGGTCAGGTCACTGGCCTCTCCTTGCCAAGTCTCCATATAGCCAGACCAATCCCAGCCTCCGTTTGTAGCCTCAAGAATCTGACCTACATAGACCTCTCTTGCAACAATCTCACCGGTGATTTCCCCACGGTGCTCTACGGTTGCTCAGCTTTGGAGTTCCTTGACCTATCCAACAATCAATTATCCGGCAGACTTCCGGACCGCATTGACAGGCTATCGTTGGGGATGCAACACCTCAACCTGTCCAGCAATGCTTTCACCGGCGATGTGCCGTCGGCTATTGCAAGGTTCTCGAAGCTCAAGTCATTGGTCCTTGACACTAATAGATTCAATGGGAATTACCCGGGTGCCGCCATTGGAGGCCTTGTGGAGCTTGAGACGCTGACGTTGGCATCCAACCCATTCGAGCCGGGTCCAGTCCCAAAGGAGTTTGGCAAGCTGACAAAGCTGAAAATGCTGTGGCTGTCATGGATGAACCTTACTGGGACCATCCCTGATGATCTGTCGTCATTGATGGAGCTCACATTGTTGGACTTGTCACAAAATAAGATGCAGGGACAAATCCCCGAGTGGGTATTGAAGCACCAGAAGCTCGAGAATCTATATCTCTATGCAAGCAATTTGAGTGGCGAGATTGGTCCTAACATCACAGCTCTCAACCTGCAGGAGCTTGACCTGTCCATGAACAAGTTCTCTGGATCAATACCAGAGGACATTGCAAACTTGAAGAAGTTGAGATTACTATATTTGTACTACAACAATCTCACTGGACCCATCCCGGCTGGTGTTGGTATGATGCCGGACCTCACCGACATCCGTCTCTTCAATAACAAGCTCTCTGGGCCCCTACCCGCGGAGCTTGGAAAACATTCAGAATTGGGGAATTTTGAGGTGTCCAACAACAACCTCTCTGGTGAGCTACCGGATACACTTTGCTTCAATAAGAAGCTCTTTGACATTGTGGTGTTCAACAATAGCTTCTCCGGCGTGTTCCCGACGAACCTTGGGGATTGCAAAACCATCAACAACATCATGGCATACAACAACCACTTTGTTGGGGACTTTCCCAAGAAGATATGGTCATTCGAGTTGCTCACCAATGTCATGATTTACAACAACAACTTCACCGGCACTCTACCCAGTGAGATATCATTTAACATCTCGAGGATTGAGATGGAGAACAATCGCTTCTCCGGTGCCCTCCCGTCGACCGCCGTCGGTCTGAAGAGTTTCACGGCGGAGAACAACCAGTTCTCCGGTGAACTGCCAGCTGACATGTCTAGGCTTGCCAACCTCACCGAGTTGAACCTCGCCGGCAACCAGTTATCCGGCTCGATTCCGCCGTCTATCAAATCATTGACAAGTCTGACCTCCCTCAACCTTAGCAGAAACCAGATTTCCGGTGAGATCCCTGCCGCAGTCGGGTGGATGGGCCTCTACATTCTTGACCTCTCCGACAACGGGCTCACCGGCGACATACCTCAAGATTTCAGCAATCTCCATCTCAACTTTCTCAACCTTTCTTCTAACCAGCTCTCCGGCGAGGTCCCGGAGACGCTGCAAAACGGCGCCTACGATCGTAGCTTCCTCGGCAACCATGGCCTCTGTGCCACGGTGAACACGAACATGAACCTTCCGGCTTGCCCCCACCAAAGCCACAACAAATCGTCGACGAACCTGATCATCGTCTTCTCGGTGCTCACCGGCGTCGTGTTCATCGGCGCCGTCGCCATCTGGTTGCTGATCATCCGACACCAGAAGCGTCAGCAAGACCTCGCCGGGTGGAAGATGACGCCGTTCCGTACCCTGCACTTCTCCGAATGCGACGTGCTCGGCAATCTCCACGAGGAGAACGTGATCGGTAGCGGCGGCTCCGGCAAGGTGTACCGCATCAACATCGGCGGCAAGGGCAGCGACGGCATGGTGGTGGCGGTGAAGCGGCTATGGCGGACGGCGGCCAAGTCGGACGCGAAGAGCGACAAGGAGTTCGACGCCGAGGTGAGGATCCTCGGGGAGGTAAGCCACATCAACATCATCGACCTCCTCTGCTGCATCTCCGGCGACGACACCAAGCTGCTCGTCTACGAGTACATGGAGAACGGCAGCCTCGACCGGTGGCTGCACCGCCGCGACGACGGCGGCGCGCCGACGGCGCCGCTCCAGTGGCCGACGCGGCTCTGCATCGCCATCGACGCGGCGAGGGGGCTCAGCTACATGCACCACGAGTGCGCGCAGCCGATCATGCACCGCGACGTCAAGTCCAGCAACATCCTGCTCGACCCGGCCTTCCGCGCCAAGATCGCCGACTTCGGCCTCGCCAGGATCCTCGCCAAGTCCGGCGAGCCGAATTCCATCTCCGCCATCGGTGGCACCTTCGGCTACATGGCTCCAGGTGAGGTTCATCACAAGATTGTTGTTCGTTAATTTGATTTGATTTGCTCGCCATCGATCGAGCTAGCTCATGAGAGTCAAGTGTTCGACGATATGTCTGTCTCGCGGTCGCAGAGTACGGGTGCAGAGCGAAGGTGAACGAGAAGGTGGACGTGTACGCGTTCGGCGTCGTGCTGCTGGAGCTGACGACGGGGCGGGTGGCGAACGACGGCGGCGCGGACTGGTGCCTGGCGGAGTGGGCGTGGCGGCGGTACAAGGCCGGCGGCGAGCTGCACGACGTCGTCGACGAGGCCATCCAGGACAGGGCGGCGTTCCTGGAGGACGCCGTGGCGGTGTTCCTGCTCGGCATGATCTGCACCGGCGACGACCCGGCGTCGCGGCCGACGATGAAGGAGGTGCTCGAGCAGCTGGTCCAGTACGACCGTACGTCCAGCGTGGCGGCCGCCTGCCGCGATGACTCCGGCGGCGCACCGTCGTTATCGAAGGGGAAGAAAGACGGGAAGGGGAAGAGCTCGTCGGCGGGAACGACGGCCGGGAAAATGTGGGGCGCCGGCACCGGCGACGAGGAAAGCGGCAGTTTCGTGGCGCATCCAGTTTAAGCTGACGTGGCAACTACACGAGTCGCTGTAAATTATGTAGTTGGATGTAACGTTTTCTACTTCTACTGTACAGCGTAGTGAAAAAGGGGGTTATGGGAGGAGGTTGAGGGGAAGGGGAAAAAGGAAGATCAATGAGTTTGGAGTCATGGCCATGATTAGAGCTTATGATTAGGACACCGTGATCGGTTGTGGACCTGGTGGTGGAGAGCCGCTGGAGATGGAATAGACGGCAAGACGGGGGTACTTGCCGCCGCTGCTTTAGGCTTTGTTCGGATAATCTCCATAAGGGAGGAATTAGAGGGGATTTATTTCACACCTATTGTGGTGTGAAATTATTCTCCCTCAATCTCTTTCAATCCTCTTTAATTCCCTCCAAACCAAATAAGGCCTTAGGGAAGAGAAGGGGTAGGGCAAGGGGAACCAACACAAGTCGCTGCTGCCATAGCGCATCCGGTTTAAAACCGATGTGACACCTCGCTGTAAATTATGTACTTCTACTGTAGAGTGTGCAGGGAACAAACGGGTTGTGTAAGGGTAAAAGTGTGTCCACCATATTTGTGTCCAATTGCCGAAGGCATAGAAGTAAAAATAAATTTTGTTTCAGAACGTGATTGTTTTAAGTTATGTTTACTTGTAGAGATGAGTGCTTGAAAATTTCGAATAAATTAACATGTTCAAAAATATAGATTTTAGAACCCATTTGAAACAAAGGAAAAATCATATGATTGATGTTTCTCACAATTTTTCTGCAACATTGTACTTTTGTAAAATCTTAGTAATTGTAGTCTATTTCCTTGCGTTTCTTGGAACATGAGGGCCCGGACACAATTGTTTGCTTCGGGGAAATCAGAGTTCAGACCCTTACATATATACCTTTGTGTTGTAGTTCTTCCAAAATGAAAATGAGTTCAGGGTGATCCCTTGGCAAGTTTTTTCATCCTATCACATCGAATATTTGGACACATACATAAAGTATTAAATATAGATAAAAAAATTCTAATTGCACAGATTGCGTGTAAATTACGAGATAAATCTTTTAAGCCTAATTAGGCTTAATAAATTTGTCTCGCAGTTTACGGGTGGATTCTGTAATTTGTTTTGTTATTAGACTACGTTTAATACTTTAAATATGTCTGTATATCCGATGTGACACAGCAAAAATTTTTATCCCTGGACCTCTAAACACAGCCTCAGTATATTCAGGAGTAACATCAGACCATTTTCCATATATAAACTGTCCAGCCTGAGTATTCTTTGGCATCGACCTGAGGATCCACTAGCAGAAGAGTCCATTTATTTTTAAGAACCAAAAGACATGTGGGCCTAAATAGTCCCAAATTTCATTTGAAATAAGAGGCCCAAGAAGATTCGCCTTAGTTGTCGAAGACCTTGACCTATTGCAGTCTTGAGTCCTTGGCTCTTTCCTACTCCCTCGGTCCCTCCGTTCCATCTAAAATGTTTTGGCTTTTCCAGTTCTCGTCTAGATCTATTGATATTTATATAACTTTTAAACACATGTATTAAGTCTATACATAAATTCTATGCACTAATCTATTCAAAAACCTAAAACGTCTTATAATCTAAAACAAAATAAAGTACTACACATGATAAGGCCAGTATCACAAATTTAGTGTCGTGCTGCTGGAGCTGACGACGGGAGGGTGGCGAACGACGGCGGCGCAGACTGGTGCCTGGCGGAGTGGGCGTGGCGGAGGTAAAAGGTCGGCGGCGAGCTGCACGATGTTGTCGACGAGAGCATCCAGGACAGGGCGGCGTTCCTGGAGGACGCCGTGGCGGTGTTCCTGCTCGGCATGATCTGCACCGGCGAAGACCCGGCGTCGCGGCCGACGATGAAGGAGGTGCTCGAGCAGTTGGTCCAGTACGACCGCACGTTCAGCGTGGCCGCCGCCTGCCGCGACGACTCCGGCGGCGCGCCGTCGTTCTCGAAGGGGAAGAAAGACGGGAAGTGGAAGAGCTCGTCGGCGGGAATGATGGCCGGGAAAATGTGGGGCGCCGGCGCCAGCGACGAGGAAAGCGGCAGCTTCGTGGCGCATCCGGTTTAAAACTGACGTGGCACCTACACGAGTCGCTGTAAATTACGTGTGGTTCGATGCGACGTTTTCTACTTTCACGGTAGATTGTACTGGAAAAATGATTTGTGCGAGAGTAAGTGTGACGTGTTCACTAGTGATGTCCAATTGCCGAAGGTATAGAAAGGACATATAAGCCCTGTTTAGATTCAACTTTTTACTTTCAACTTTCAACTTTTCCGTCACATCGAACTTTTTTACACTCATAAATTTTTAACTTTTCTGTCATATCATTTTAATTTCTTCAAACTTTTAATTTTAACGTGGAACCAAACACAACCTAAATTTGGTCTCAAACCAGAGCTTATGCAGAAGTCCTCCTCTGCAGCCCCATCCTAGATGGCCGATCGAGCTATACTGTGGTGGGGCGGAGGCGGTGCAGGAGTGCGCGGTCGCGTACGCGAGCACGTGAAAGCAACGGCGGTAGGCGGGATGAGGAAGAGAAGGGAGAAAAAAAAACGGTTTGAGCATGTGGCATGAATCTCAAAGCGATCCAACTGCATAATTTTGGAAGCTTTTTTCTGTCGAAAAAGATTTAGATAGTCCCTTGATTAAACTGTGGAATAGCAATGAAACTATGATGTTTTCTCCCACACAATATATATTAGTTAATCTAGATCAACTGTGCCAGGGCAGGTCCCACTACTGTATAAGCAAACAATTTATCATACCGTTTTCATAAATTTTCTGCAATTTTGTACTTTGTAAAAATCCTAATAATTGTTGTCTTTTTCGTCGTTGCATTTCTTGGAACATGACCAGGCACAATTGTTTGCTTAAGGGAAATCAGAGTTCAGACCCATCCATTACCTATACTTCATGAAACGAATTTTTTTGAGAATTAATATTATTTTTATGGAAAATTGCAAAAGTAGTGGCCAATCGGGGAAAATCGCGAATTTAGGTCCATGTCGAACGGCTGTAGTTCGATAGGGTAGATATCGAACGTTGGGGATTCGACTGGGACCTGTCGAACCGCTGGCGTTCGACAAGCCGACCTGTCGAACGGAGGGAGTTCGACAGGGCCCACCACCCAGCGCCGCGCGGCCTGTCGAACAGCGGGCGATCGATAGGCCCCGCAACCGACCCTGTTGAACAATGGACGTTTGACAGGCCGGTTTAAAACCCTGTGCGCCCAGCCCGCGATGCTGCTTCGATTTTTCTGAGGACCACATCGCCAGCCGCCGCCGAGTCGCCACTTCATCGCCGTGGGCGCCGGAGGGAGTGAGGGGAGGAGCTAGCAGGCCGGAGTGGAGGCCGAGGAGGCGCCGGCTGGGAGGAGAGGGTTGGCAACCCCTCCACCAGTGAAGTTAAGGTATACATTAGTAATCCCTAAGTATGAGGCATAAGAAAGTTTAATAAAAAATTGGTTTGTGATTTGTTAATTGTTTCGCATTGTTCAATGCTAGTATTTATTGTTTGCACGTATTTGTCATTGTTAAATGTTAGTAGAGGTATGTAAGTATTTGTATGGTTAAATTAGTTCTTAGTTAGTACATGTTATTAATATGTTCTGTGTTAAAAAATGTACAAAGATATTATATTTTATTTCGATTATTAAACTAGTCATTTGTTACTAATAGTTGTAAGTTAGTACACGGCAATGTAGTATAAGTTGTAATAGGGTAATTATCGAAGGATTAAATGATTAACGTCAGACAATTTGTCATGTTTTATCAGGATGTCAGGTGATATGCCCATTCGTCTGTATTATGGCGATGCTCCTATACAAATATGCGATAGTGGGGTGGATTTGACTGTATATGCCTTCCATGATACTAGTCTGAATGCACCGGAGTATATGGGTTTGAACGACGTGTTAGGGTGGTTGTATAATATGTTTGGGGTAGATCCAGTGCATGATAAATTTGTCATAAATGCCGTGTGGCCAGTGAGGGGTCAACATGGATGGCAGTGGAGAGTAGTGGAGGTTGCGTCAACCGGGAGTTGGAGGAAGTTTGTTAGTAAAGTAAGGGAGAAAGGCTATAGCCTGGCAATAGTGGTGTAGAAGAAAACATGTGTTGATCGATCGGGGGAGTCAAGTCATACCGTGGTGGAAGAAACTCCGTTGGAAGGTGGACAAGTTGAAAATGTTTGGCGGACTGAGCAAGGTCGAGGGGAAGAAGTAATAGAGGGTAATACACAAGGAGAGGTCATTGTTCGTGGTACTAATCGTGAGGCCAATGACTCAGACGATGAAGAACCGGATTCGCCTATGCGTGTTGATTCAGCGGAGGAGAATGAGGCGGTAGTGGATTAGATGGAAGTGGAAAACGAGGAATACATTGCGCTTGTAGTGGAAGGAGAAGATACAACACTGTGGGACAACGAAACTAACATACCCGATGATTGGACGACCATATCAATGAGTCATATGAAGGTAAACGATGATTTAGATGCCCACTGGTGTTATGATAGTAAGCAGGTGAAAGTTGGACAGATGTTTCATGACAAAGGTCACTTACAAGATGCGGTGAAGAGGTGGGCATTTGACCAGAAGCGTGAATTCAAGGTGAAGGTTTCAAATAGGACGACGTATGACGTGAAGTGCACACAGGGTGGATGTCCTTGGAGAGTGCATGGTTACAAGCCACAACATGACACTTTATGGGTAGCTTCGAGGGTTGAGCAACATACATGTTTGTTGGAGAATACCCGTCTGGTGCACAGGAACATGACAGCGGCATTTGTGGCACAAATGGTATATTCAAAGGTGGTTAGAAAAACATCTTTGTCCCCTTTCACAATAATGCATGACGTAAATAAAGAGTACGGATATGAGATATCGTACGACAAGGCTTGGAGGGCAAAACAAAAATTTTCAGTCTTACCGTAGTTTGTGCGACTTCGTTGAGTGGGTTGATACGACTAATCCACAACGTGACAGGGCACGCCTATATCCATGCAGCGAACCATTATCGGACTACCTAAGGAGGAAGGATGAATACGAACGACGAAAAACTGCCGAATCCTTACCATGGCAAGTGAATCCACTGGGACTCCCCAATTGGCGGGAGCATCCAGAGTGTAGGTGTGGAGACCGTTGCCAGGTCATAAGGTCCGTTCGACAACGAACTCTAGGACAGAGATGCTTCGTGTGTCCTAACATTGTCGACGATGATTTCATCGTAAGTTGCACTAATTTTTACTCACTATGATTACTTCTGTCATATACCTACATACATCCATGTACGGTCATTAATTTCTGGGCACAGGAAGAAGACCGCAAATGTAGTTACGTAAACTGGATCGATACGGTGCGAAGAACTTCCATCGGATCGATGATAACTCAACCTGAGACGACCACACAATTCATTCAAGCATGGATGGAGTACGAGCGCCATGTTCAGTCCGCTAGCTTAAACTGGAGATCAAATCCATTAGGTATACCTAAATGGTCTGATCGTCCCAAATGCGGTTGTAGAGAACGCTGCCAGGTTGCAACGTCCTTCTCACAAGATACATATGGCAGGTGGTACTTCGTCTGTCCCAACATAGATGACAACTTCGTTGTATGTCACATGCTTAAT